TCATCAAAGGCTTTTTGATTCCTGGCAATAGTAATAAGCAAATGAAAACCAATCACTGGTCTCATAAATACCCATGCTATGGGTATCTGATTTATGTGCCTTTCACCGAACTTTGTTATTTTTTTGATAGCTTTCCTTCAGACTTCCACTAAGCAACTGCATGGGGACTTTGTTTCTACTGTTCTTGGTTTTATTTTGTACTATCATGGGATACACTCTGATTTCTGTCTAAATATTGACAAATTTTTAATGAAATAAAGGGATTATTTTGCCCACATCTGACACTGCCCTTTAGAGTCATAAAGGAGAAAAGGTGTATTTGTCTATGTGTCTCACTGGTTAAGGACTTTCATGGAGAAGGCTGACAGGCAGGCTATGATGTTTTTTTCATGTAAAAACATGAAATCCATTCATCTTGTACTGACCCACCCATAGAGGTTGATTTCTCTTGAGTCATTTATATGTGGGTTAAGAGGTAATAAAATACTGCCTTTTTTTAAAGTGTAGATTGTCTGTTCGAGTCTTTTATCTAGGATTTTGCTCATTCATTTGCTGTTTCAAAAGTTATTGTAGGTTTGATAGGCGTTTTGTTGGTAGCAGCATAGGCTTAAGAAGCTTTCACTTATTTTGGTTACATTCCACTCTTTCACTTGTGCTAATGCAGTTGTTTGGGGGGAGGCTATACAGTGAACTTGGCTGGGAAACTGATCCAGTTAAAAATAATCCTTTTTTTTTCTGGATATTAATAACTCAGGTCAGTTCTGGCATCCAGTTGACTGTAGTACTCCACAAATGATTGTCAACAAAAATGAGTGGCAGTGTTAGGGAATGTTTCTGAATCAGCAGTGCTGTGAAACTATGGCAAAAACTGTTAATTTTAATTTTTAAGTTGTAAGGTCCTGACTGGATGCTGCCCTGAGGCTGCTTTGACTCTAACATCTTTTTCGGCTTGCTGACTCTCTAGAAGTGCTTGCTGAACAGATTTTCATTTCAGAGCATCATTTCTTTTTATATTCTTGTGTTTATAAAACACTAATTTGGAGTCAGTAGCAGAGTCTCAACTGCTTGTGGCAGATAAGCATGTTGCTGGTGAAAAACACCTGGACTCAGATGTGGTAGCTATACATTTATGAGTCAGTCTAAGATGGCCATTTTTAACTCTGAATGTGAGTATGGCCCCTTGTTACACAGTACATGTGTGTTTTTCTGACCCTGTGTTTATGAAGTGTGACTGTGGTGGTCTAGTCTGACATGTTTCTGTGGAAGCACTGACTGCATGGTTGAAGATGGAAAGACTTTGTTGTGAACTTGGCCTGAAATGACTAGAGAAGAGAGCACATGAAATGTTGGGGATTTGTTTCCATCTGCTGCTTCAAGGAAACTCTAAACCAATTACTTGGGTTAATACAGAAGGTCTGTGAGATGGGGGGGGTTTTCCTCACTGGTTAACTCTCCTGTTTGTTTAAAGTAATCGAGAAAATAAGACCAAAAAAAGTCTTCAGCGTGCTTATTCATCTCAGTTACAGAAAAAGGTACATACAAATACGTTTTTGCCTTCTGAGTCATCTATCAGTAAAATACTGTGGCTTACGTATTTTTTTTTAAGTATAATTGAAATGATGCTCAGCATTAATAGTGCTTGTAAGTAGCAGAATACACAATATAAACTTGATAATCTTCGTAAATTGTGTGTGTAAAATGGAAAGAGGTATTTGAGCCATCTAGTGGTTGGTATGAAACATTTTTACATTTTTTGATAGCTTGTGGAAAATGTAAATGACATCGGCTTGAAAACAGCATTTCTAGTTTTTAATAGCATGTCTGTAGAATAAAAATCCCGGACTTCATATTTGAGGTACAGTCTGTTTTGGTTTGCAGCTTTTTTTCATTTTACTATAGATTTTAGTAGAGAGACATATCTCATAACGCAGAAATTACATTAGAAGTTAGTAGCCAAAGAATGAATTTTGTTAGCGTGAGATCTTCAGAAATTGTGAGGGTTGTTAAGAAGTTCAAGGAAAGGATGGTGATAAGATCGTTTTCTACTTCTTACTGAAAAATGTTTGGAGGGGAAAAAAGTGATCATGTATTCTAACTCACAAGTTATTTATAGCAGGATTCCGAATAGCAGGGATTCAATTACAAAAGTAGTCTTTAGTGGAAAATGTGGGATTAATATTTTTTGTGATAAACTTGTCCAAATAAAAGCAACAGAGGTGACTGGAAATAGATTGCTTAAGACAGGGTGTGTTCCTGGTAAACAGAGTCACAGAAACTTATGATGTTAAGAAAAAGGACATTTTGTAGATGAAAATTTTGTGTAATGATCCTGCTTTGCCCCAATATTCAATAAGCTGTTACAGCCTTTGATATTGGCTGTTGCCAGTAGGAACTTGGCTGCACGTTGAACTTGATGGTATTCTGCAATATGGCAGAAAAGTTAGTTGCTGACGTAATGAACTTTATGCACATCTCGCCTTGAATTATTTGTGGGAAAATACTACATGCCTTGAAACACTGTAATATCTTCTAGTCCTTGTGAAAGTCTCTTCCAGTCCTTGTGAAAGTCCCATCCAGTTTCAAATTAAGATTAAAAGTTATATTTAATCTTTATTAAAACATCTAATAATCAACAGGCAGTACTAATGGTGTTACATATGATTGGAGCTGTAGTATTTCAGAACAGATAAACATGATCCATACTGACATTTAAGAATTTACACCTTTACATTTGAAGTATTGGAGAGTCTTAAATCTTGCCCTGTTTTTATTAAGACAGTGACAGTTCAACAGAGTTTTTAAGGTCAATCTGAAATGCTTTCTAAGACCCAATGAGAATGGGAGAAAAATGGGAAAAACAGTCACTGAACAAAGGACAGAGCGGTAATGGTTGATTTTTATTTTACTTGGGTGGGGACAACCTGAAAGCTTCATGTGAACTCAATATATTATTACATTTGGATAAATCACCTGTATCTTGGTCCTGTTGTGACTTGAAAATTGATTATTATTAACCCCTTAGGATCATACTATCAGCTAGATTAATTGTCTGAATCTGTAACTCATTTGGACTGTGAATTCTAATAGATTTCAGAAGAGGAGATTAAATTCTTTGAAGATTGAATAGGTTTTAGTTGTCTAGCATATTTTTGCTTGAATTTTGCAGTGTGGTGATGAAGGATTATTTTATTATTACTGTTTTTATCAGTCTTTACAGTGATCTAGTCTTGATTGCAGTTGGTGGATCTCTGAGGTATCACTGGACAGTGTTGTTAAGTTCTGTTCTACAAATGAGGCTGACCTGAACATAATAAAGGTTACTAAGTGTGTGCTCTATTTTGTATGTTTTCAAGTGGCACACGTGGAAATCTCTCTGTCTTACTTCTTCATTTAAAATTACTTTTAAATCAAGGCATTATGTATATTCAGTTTTTGAGCTTGCCTTCTTTCCTGGTCTGTTGTTGCCAGAGCACACTTGGAAAGCAGGAAATATATGAGTTATGGAAATAGAGATCTTTTATCTTTACGATGTCCGTGTTGTGTTTTTGTTCAATTAAACAGGAATGTGGTTTTATGATATTATTAAAGTGTCATCATTTATTGTTTATGTACTTCCCCCTCCACTCCTCTGTTAACATCTTCCAGTGCTCTGATTGCTGTAATATCTGGTCATACCACAGCATTTTCTTGGAAGCTGTCCATTGCTGAAGCTATGATCCAACTGTATTCATGAAAGGATCTTTGGCATTTCCCCTGGTTTTAATTTGCATTTAGAAGATGCAGATGAGGGAATAATGAAATGTTAATATTGGGTCCTGTTTCTCATGAATCCTGCTCTTTGATTTGTGTTCTACTTACAAGCTATTTTCTAGAGAAATCTGATTATACCTTTTTATATTTGGATTGAGTTTAAGGCATAACTAAGCTTCCTTTAATGGAATTCCTTAGAAATTTGTCTTGTTGAAGAAGTGCGTGCAAGTGGAAGAGGGATTTATCTTGAACTACAGTCTTCAACAATGGAAATTCCATTTCTTGTCCATGTGTCAGAGCTTTGTGTTCTTTGGGATGTGTTCCTCCTCTCTCAAAACCAGAATTATACATAAGAAAAGCCTAAAAATCTGTCATAGGCAGCATGTATATGTTGTCTCCTGTAAATGGAATTGCTCTGCTAAAGAAAAAAGAGCTATGCAGTGACATAACTTTTAAAAAGAAAAAAACAATTTGTTTATTTTCCCTAATTTAGGATACATGTAATAATTGTTTGTAGAATTTTATAGTTAAACATTCATTAAACCTTATTAGTAATGTCAACTTAGAAGCAAGTCAAACTTTTCTGTGAAAAGAAAATGGGGGGGTAAATGGGTTTCCAGATGGAGAATGGTTCTTTTTTTTTTCTTCCTTCTTTTTTTTTTTTTTTTCCTTCCACAAAGTAGAGAAATAGAAAATAGAAATTTGATTAATTATGAAGAAATATGATTGTTTTAGGATTGAAGTCAATGGTCTGTATTTTTGGTATTCAGAAAAATTGAATTTTCTTAAGCATATTTTCAGATCCATATAATTAATGTTCTACTTTGGACTCTGAAATTAGAGTGTGTATCTTTGTTTACTTTTATTTGGGTATGAATTATTATTACTATGAAATGGTGTTCAGTCATAAAACATTTTTTATTATATTAAATTGCCAAAGACCTCTACTCTGTCATTTCCTTTCCTGCTGTTGTACAAGTAAAACAAAGCACATCAGTTTGCCTGATGTAAAATAATATTATTGTTGTTACTATTCCTCAAAAAATATTTTGTAGAGAATAGTGTTTTGTTAAATGTCTACCTGTCCTTTTATTCCTTCTTTTTGGTTCTTCCTGTTCAAGGTGAAATTTAAATGTGCTTATCTTAGCATGGAAATAGAATGTCAAATGATGAATAAAATACTGGAAACTCAATCTTAGAGCATATGGTTGTTTTACCTTGGCTTTCAACATTGTTTCTTTCCTTTACAGAATGCTGCCTTTTTATATGGCCTTGGTTTGGTCTACTTCCATTACAACGCCTTTCAATGGTAAGTTGCAATAAACTCACAGTATCAGTATTGTGTAGCGTTTTATTGGTAGGTGAATATTTCAACTTCAGTTTAGTGTGAGTGTATGATAGTTTAATTTTTTTATAATCATAGATATGATGTTTGAAGACATACTGTCCTGGGCTGCATATCTGACTTACTGTAACATACCTGTGGCAACCACGGAAGTTGCTTGAAAAAGAAAGCACTTACAGGAGAAGAATTTCAGCTCCCTATAATATGATTCAGCAAGGGGGATAGAGCAGTAGGACTTGTCAGGTTTTTTTTGTGAATTATTGTTATTGATAGTCTGTAGTCTGCATTTGTTTGAAAGCCTGTTTACAAAAAACTTTTGGAAAAGCAGTGTCAAAGTGGGCTTCTTTTCATTTAGGTTGTTAATCAGTAATTTTTACATAGCTGTATAATGTGAAAGTTTTGGACGTGAGAAGCAATATACTCAAGACTTGAATCATAATGTTTAAAGCTGATATAAAAACTTAGAAAGCATTATAAATTCTGACAGGGCTTTGAGGACTGAAAGGGTCTGCTGTTGGATATGGGGGGAAGAGTTGGTTTGCAATGGGGTTTTGGTTTTCTTTTACTGGTGATGAGAGAAACATGATAAATGGAATAGACTCAGGGGTTCTGTTGAAAGGTCCTCAGACTTCATTGGGATTTGTTCTTGCAGAGATATAGTGTCATTGGAAAAAAAGTCAGAAAACGTGCAGTGTTTAGGTCAGTGCATTTTTACAGTCAGTATGGAGACTGTTAGTAAATGTGACCTTACTACTTGACTGATTAATAAAAGGTTTATCATCTTACTGGACTGAGTATAACTGCAGGTAAGGAGGCAGTAACTCACTACCGACTGATCTGGAACAATAAAGAGAAATTTTTCCCCCTGGCTGTCGCTCTACCCTCCCACTCCCTGCCCTCCCCCCTCTTCCTCCCATAAATTGTTTCTATGTGTACGTGAGATAAAAGATTTGTGCATTCCTCATAATAATGTAAATAATGTTTTATTCTTCAAATTAAGATAAGTTGGTTAAATCATAAGCTCAGAACTTGGATTTTTTTTTAATTATCTTGCAACTCATTGCTTTCTTTATTGATAGTGGTGAAATGAATGCCACGTATGCCACATGTGTAGAGTCACATGCCACACATCCATGGCATGCAACTCTGTTGCATTCTAATTAATGAGAAGAACTGAAAAATTTTCAGAAAACCTGAGAATCCAGTATTTTAAGATTGTGTTAAATCTTGGTTGAATTTCACTTCATCGTTTAACATCGAAGAGTATTTTGTGCACCAGTTCTTATTACAAGAAGTATCTTGCTACAATTTGCACTGTGAAAATGGTAGATAACTGTAAGATAAAATTAAATAAGACAAAGTAGTTAGATTTAGAGTAGTTGATTCTTTGAAATATCACCTGTTCAGTATAGACTTTTGCCATCAGTGGATTGTGCTATTTATCACCTTCCAGCGAATGGAGCAACAAAGTCAAGTTGATTGTGAGACCTAAGTATTAATAAATCAGAGTTTTGAATTAATTTACATTTTTCTTCCATGCCTTTAAGTAATCTTGTTGAAAACATGAGTATAAATTGATGCCCTAACTTACCATGTCTTAACTGCACATAGAATTTTCTGTTAAGGTTGTGTAGAATAATCATATTTGCCATTTCATTCATATAACAAAGTTTATGTATAAGTGGTACAAAGGAAGTTGTGTATCGTTAGATTATTGGGTAAAACTTTTAGAGGAAGAAAATCTTAACGCAGATAAAATCTTACAAATATGCATTTGGGGGTTTTTTTTAATCACTTTGAGTGCTTCCCCCTCCTTCAGCCAGCCCCTTACTGTGTTTTCTTGGGGATGAGAGGAGTGGGCTGTGTGGTTGTGGGTGTTTAGGTGTGACCAAACCATAATAAGCTTGGAGGTCATAGCAAGTCATTTATAGTAGTTAAGTTCTTTTTTGTCGATCTTAATCCTCCACAGGACTCTCTTGTAGATTGCAAGGAGAATCCCTCTTTTTTCAGAGTGAAAAGCTAGTCAAACTGTCTTATTTGTAGCTGTTCCATGTATGTTCATATAGTACACAAATCTGTGTAGTTTAGGAAGCTGGAGGAGAACTCTAAACCATTTAAAATATTTTGAGCTCTCATGCTTCATCCATGAAGGCTGGAGGGGGGGGGGTTATCCACACCAGTTTAGATATTCCTAGATTTTACTGAGAGGCATGTACATAGTCCTAAAAGGAAAAGGTAAGGAAGTGCTTGAGGTTTTTTCATGTCTCATATAAACATGGATATTAAAAAAGCGGGAATAGGCTCAGTTTTAGAATTCTTGTTCATATTCTCACATTATTTTTTAAGTTTTCCAGCTTTCATAAAAAGTGGTGGATTGTCTGAGACATATGATGTTCGCTGTAGTTCAATATTGTACACTTCTCTATATGCTAAAGCAGCATTACAGTTATCTTAAGTACAAATCTTAGCCCATACATCATTTTATATTTGTGATTTTGTTTGACTGTTCATGTAACAACTGAAAGTTCTCAACATCTACAAAGATGCAGCAATAGTGTGATCAGACCAAAGCTATTTCATGCAGTTATTATGCCATAATGAATTAGCTCCATAAATTGAATCAAGTATAGTAAAATAGGTCTTCTGGATCTTAAATTTTGATACTCTGATCTTTTACACCATTTATCATCAAGCAGTAAATAAAGTGGTTAGTTGATTTTTCCCTGTTGTTTCCCTGTTTCTCAAGTAGCGTAGAACACCAGTAGAATAGAGATAGCTGAGATATTTACATAACTTGAATAATTTTGTATCCTCCTTAGTTGTCTTTTAGATTTAACACTTAAAGAATTTCAGTAGTTAATCAAAGGCTGTTCTTCATTTCTGTGCAACAGCTGTATCCAAATGTAGTGGCTTGGATGCCAAATTTTTTCTTTCACTTCAGTAATGATTCTGAGCCTGACTGGTCTATCATCTGCTGGTTTACACTGAGTCCCACCAAGATAAAATAATTTGAGTCCAGGCTCTGCAATTGTGTCCTGAAAGTGGCTCTAACATTCTCTTCGGATCCCAGTGTACCAACCATGTAGCTAGCCTGCAGTGTTTTCAGTGACTGTTACTTTGCAAATTGCTGGACAGTGTGTGGGAAAGGTATGTCAGAAACACCTAACAGAGACTGAGATCAGTCACCCATATTACCCCATTTATATGTATATATATCCTGAGGCTCCTCAGTCCAGGGATTCCTTATCAGCTGTACAAGTTAAGCCTTACGTAAACTCAATCCTTCAGCATTGACACTTTTGTGGGACACAATCCTGACAGAAGCCAAAGACTGATGCAAGTGATGATCAGACCCTTTTCCTCACCATCACAGCTAAAGTTGCAGACTACCGGAGGAAAATCTGTCATCTCTGACTGGAATTTTTGGCCCTTCTACAGCCATCATTGTCAAAACAGAATCACTGTCATCATCCGTTCAATATCGTGATATCTAGAAGATACCTGTCTCCTTTAAATCTCAGAGCCAGCCCAGTCTTTTTGCATTGCTGCATCCTGGCACTTCTGTAAGCCAGAGTGTTCTGTATGCTGGAATTCCTCCTGTTTGAGGAATAGTTTGACTCCTTGGAACAAGGACATGGGAGTTCAGCACTAAAAACTTTTTTTTCCCTTCTTCAGCCCTGATTTAAAATTGTATCTTGACATCAAGAAGGCAGCTGCAGTCTTTCATTATTCTTAGCTAATTCAGGTAAAGATATTTAATGGACAAGAGGGAGCAAGCATATACAACCCCTGCTGAGAGAGTGTAGCACCTCCATCTCCAACATGTGAGCAACTGAGCAGGCTCTCCACATCTCATCTCTGCTACTGCTGAATTGCACAGCCCTCCAGAGGCCAAGCAGACAGCAGAAAGTAGCCCTCAGTCGTTATATGTGGTATGGCATGTCATCTCTTGGTCACCCTGCAGGCCTCCAGACACCCAGGAATCTCTTTTCTCCTAGAAGTCCTTTGAAGTCCTCAGCAAGGCAGGAGCATTCTTTTCCATGTACCTACAGGAGAACACACAAAACACCATTGCCTGTGAGATGGCCTTAGCACCAATCACACTGGACCATTTACCTTAGCTGAAGGAGTCTGGTCTCTCTCTTTTTCTCTCTGGCTGTTATTCTCTTTCATCTTTTTCCAAAAAAATTAAGTTTTGTTCTTCTCACAGTCATCCTGAAATAGTAAAGCAGCTGTTTAAACTGTTTTTAAAGTACTGAGGTCTACAGTGAAATGTAAACTGTTTTTCAGTAGTCTTTGTGTGCCAGCCTTCAATATCGCACACCTTATCTATGCAAGAAACTACTGGTTTATGGTGGTTGCTGTTTGCCTGTGGGAGTGGGAGAGTCGTGTGCTGGTTTTGCATTTCTTCGCTCCCTCTATCAATGCATGTGTTGTTTGGTTTTTTTTTCAGGGCAAGCTGTTAGTAACACTGTAAGATTTCTCTTTGAGGGGGGTTATTGTTTTTGGTTTTTTCTAGCAGGACCAGATCCTTCAGATGGTTCTCAAGCTGTTAATGACAGTGGTTGGCAGATCCAAGGAAATGGTCTCTTCCACACAGAGTAGTTGAGTGGGTAGTGGGTGAGTTGGAATGCAAACTGCCTAGTGGAGACCTCCTTCACTTGTGTGGAAACACCCCACTCATCATGCACAGTGGCCACTGGACTACTTCATCAAATGTGATGTCTGCACTGCATGCCTCCAGGTGTATCAGTGGTTTGTGCCATTGTGGAGGGCGCACAGCTTTTGACGAAATAGTCCTGTGGCTGTGGTTTGCATGAGAGGCTCTGAGAGTCACCCATCTGACAGTGACATTGCACTGGTAATTGACAGCCTGTTGAGTTCCTGCTTTGGAAACACCTGCAATGGAAAGTCCAGGAGGGCTATAATTTGAGAGCAGAAGATCTTGCTTACCAGTAAATTGT